CTTTGATTTCTGTTTTCGGGTTTTTTTGAGCTATGGTCTTAAACTTTTGATCAGCTGAAAAAAATCATGTTTGAGTGTAAATGCAGTTTTCAGAAAATTCCCTGCTCAAAAGTTCTTGTCTCTTGCACTGATTTCTTCTTTTAACATTGTGAAGCTCTACTTAGAACCTTAAGATCCAATAGAGCAAAATGCAAATTCTTGCACTTTTTTGACTGGTCTTAAGATTTTGATCAGGAGTGTATCTCCATGGTCGCGGGTCGCCACACAGGCAACCGACATCTTGTGTACGAAGGCTCATGAAGGACAAAATGCGGTGGCGGCATCAAAAACAGTTTTAGTTGTAATGCTATAAATGTAATATTTGTTGTCTGTCATTGTAGCTGGGATAATTTTACTTATTAAAGCTCATAATRTTACCACTTGAAACATCACTAGCCCTGAAGCTGCTGGTAGACATCGCGGTTGGAATTATCAAAGGGTTTTGACACCTGAGACACCGTAGCAACTCCTTTGCATTTGGAAGGGGTGGGGGTGGGGGGAGGACCAGGGAGGATGATTCAACCACTCAATTACTAGATGTCGCTGAAAACAACAAATCCTACACACTGTGCCTTTAAAATGGTTCGACGCCCATGTTTACCAAAACACAAAGATCTGCAGAAAACTTTCAAGTAAAAAATATCATGTAATTTTCCTGGCCACCCCTGTGTGAGTTGTGGTCCCCGTCTGGCCACCCCTGAYAAAAATGTCGGTCTCCGCTACCGGTCCAAACCATCTCAAGTCTTGTCTGTCTATTATTTCCTATTCCTTCAACCTGGTCTGTACGTCTGATAATCTCATTCCTAATCTTCTCCATCCTGGTCTCCCCCAAGGAGAACCTCAACATCTTCAAGTCAGTTGTCTCCTGTCTTTTTGTTCATGTCTCTGTCTCCGAAACATACAACACATCTGGTCACACAGCTCTCTTTGACCTTTGCTGCCACCATTTTGTCACAAATGAAACTCTTCTCCATCCACTCCACTCTGTCCGGACTCTTTAACACATTTCCTGTTTTCCGGACAGTGGAGCCTAAAATGGGACCTCAGCTCCTTGTAGTCTCACTGTTCCACCTGCATCCCRCTCATTTCACACACCTGGACTCTGTCTTGTTTGGAAAGACTTTCACTCCTCGTCTTTCAAGTGCGGAACTCCACCTCTTCTCTATCACCTGTTCCCTGTTCTCAGCACAGATCACGATGTCATCTGCAAAAAAAGGCAGCTTAGATAATAACCTAATCATTTTTTTTATTTATTTAAATCCTAACACTAAAGGTATTCTGCACATTATACTATGCATTATGTCCTGTGACCGGCTTAAAAACATTCTGAGCCTAAAAGAGTAATTTAAAAAAAAAAGTCCGCATCAATCCGCCGTTTCCTCCCTTCAGGCTTCAGGAAACCCCTCCTCATCCCGCCGCGTGCCCGCCTTAAAAGCGCGAGGCAGCTGATTGTGCGGAGGGATCTGATAGGGACGGACTACACCCAGCCGCCGCCTCACTGCCCTGTCGGCTTTCTTTGCTGCCCCGGCTTTGCGTTGGTCAACGTCGAAGTGTGGGTTAGATTGGAGACTCTAAACTCATTTTAGGCATTTATTCCTCCCTCCTGACTGTCGCCTTTTTTTTGGTAGTCGCATCGCCAACGCTTCAGTTTTTTTTAAATATAAATATTATCTTGAGTATGTCTTGGCAAAGCTACGTGGAGAACCTGATGGCCGACGGCAGCTGTCAGGATAGCGCCATTGTTGGGTATACTGACGCCAAGTATGTTTGGGCAGCGCATCCCGGTGGCATTTTTAACAACATTGCGGTAAGGAGAAAAGTCAGCTACAACTGTAGCTGTGTGTTATCCTAATGAAAGTGTTATGGGTGTCCTGCGCCTCGCAAACAAAACGCCGAAGCTGTTGCCTCTTGTGTGTCTGAATGACTGCAAAGCTAACGGCACTGTGCTAGCTTAGCWGGCTACTGAGCTAGCCTAGCGGCCGGGCTAACGAGCTGACCAGACGGTGGCCTGTGTTGGCCGCCGCCTGCTCAGGAAACGTTGCCAAGTTAAACCTCGTGTCTCCCCGTCTTACTAATGGGACTTAATACACACATATACATATATATTATTGCCGTAAGCACGTAATAATCTGCGTTCAAATGCAATGCCGCAACAGTGAAGTCATTTTTTTATTTTAATGCCAGCAAATAGTCTGTGTCAGGCGCATGCTTTGTGTCTGCGGTGCTAAAGTTAAGCTGCTACTTTACTGTAGCTTTAAAAGGTGACTGCAGACTCAGACTGCAACCTGCATTATCACGATTAGCAAGCTGTCCTCGTGTTACTTTGGATTTCATTAGAATTAATTATAGGGACTGCTGCGCCCATTCATTTACGGTTCACCTTTTTAGAGTTATTTTATTTTACATAATGCTGGATGAAAGGAAAGGATTGACGCTCTGTTTGCTGCAATAACACATTTTGCCCCCCAAATTAAGCCCTTCTAAAACAGCAAAGTCAGCCAAATAAAACATTGCGGTTTATATTCGTTTTAAAACCACACAAGAGCAGCCGAAATGTTAACTGAAGCACAAATGTGACTCATCATATCGAAATGAGGATTAAGTCAAAATGACCTAATTATATTTTCAATTTCTTGGCTTAAAAGCTACATTTTGATACCTGGATCATTCTGATATCATAAGTAAATCCATATTCATGGCTTAATTTGTCCTGTTGGTTACGATACTACATAAATATTTGGTCTGAATCCAAATTTTATTTAACTTTAATGAACTTTTGATGTCCTTTTATAAAGAGGAAACCTCAAATTATTTTTGAATATTGAGATTTCCCAGCTGAAAAAACACAAAACTTTGCTAGCTCAAAGAAAAACTCAAGATTTTAAAGGCTTTTTCCTTCCAAATTTTTTTATTTTGTTGCTAATGCTAAAAAAAGTGATTCTTTCATGATTTATATTTCAGAGAGATCATTCAGTGGGTCAAATTTTATTTATGCTTGGTTTAAATAAAGTTTACGTTAACCAGTGAGTGGAGAAATTGGTCAACATTTGCAATGAAAAGAGGAGTTATTGCTGTTTTTAGAATATAATTTTAAAAAGAAGTGGAAAATGAGTCCATTTGTACCAGCTGTAGTTAACATTTAGCTGAGTTTGTGACCTCTAATGGAGATGTTTAAAATGACGCGTGACGTTTCTGGTGTTTCCTACACTCAGTGCCTGTGTGCTGCCTTTTCAGGTTCAGGAAATTGACGTCCTTGTTGGTAAAGACCGGGAGACTTTTTACACCAACGGTCTCACTCTGGGCTCAAAGAAGTGTTCAGTCCTCAGAGACAGCCTCCAGGACGACGGGGACTGGACAATGGACATCAGGACAAAGAGCCAGGGAGGAGAGCCTACATACAATATTTCTGTAGGAAAAGCTGCAAAAGGTAAATATCAGGTTGTCTCTATAGGATTAACACTGATAGGATGTTTAGAAGCAGTCTTCTTATTTTTTTTAATTTAAATGTAAGTTTTTTAAGCAACAATACTGAATTACTGTAGCATCCAGTCTGTCCCCGGTTATAAAAACAGTAGTGCTGATTTTAGTTGTACTAAATAAACAACTTGTTGACTCTGCTTATTAGCTTGGCAGCTGTAAACCAGGAAGTTTAATTTTTTTAGCTTTTAATGTGAAACTGTCTTTAATCTTCCTCTGTTACTGCTCCAAGACTGACATTTTTTAAATAAATTGATCACATTGGTTAAAAATATGGGTGGGAGGGCACTAGGACATGTTTTTGCCTAAAGGGAAATTCTGATTATTTTGAATTAGGGTTCTGTGGAAAAGTTAGGACTCTCTTCAAACCCCAGAGTTCTCCAGGTGAGAACCAMAACCTCAGACCTAAAGGTGCTGATTCTCCTCCTAACTGCCCCCAGAGAACACTGAAGCTTGTGGCTTGAAGACGCTGACTGAGCCTCATCCTCTGATTGGGGAAATCCAAGAAGCATTGTTGGAAAATAATGCGTTGTTCAAAATGAGATGTCCGAATAAACAGGATTCAGCTGGATTTCTTGTTAAAACTTTATTTTTTGATCTTCTGACTCCAATCAGGTTCACAGAACAGCACACAGGCCTCAGTCAGACCTTAGGCTGATATCAGGAAAACCCAAACACAGCAGCGCAACTCTGCTCAGAAGCAGAGACTCTAACACCCTGACAACTTCTTCTTTACTATAATAAAGAATTGGACTTATAATGTTCGTCCTTTCCTAGTTACACCCCCGGAAGTGTTACCTTTTACGTCAGACGTCAGAACGTCACTCAGTTTTGTTTACGCTAAGAGAAAGAACACATAACACACACCAACTCTTTGTCAGCTACAACCTTACAGACTGAAATGATCAGAAAGTATAAAATACAAAAACTGAATCTAACATTCAATTAATAAGTTACACAATTTCTTCAATCCCTCTCTTGACATATATAAAATA